GGTCTTATTTTCGTCCAAGAAGCGCGATTTATCGAATGTTTGTGCCGATTTCCCGCAATTGTTTCGTAAAATCATTCCTTAGAATGAGGGCATTGCACTATTAATGCTGTTTTCATTGTTGTTATTACCAAGAGTTACAAGACTACACGGAGAGTCATTGTGGGTCCGATGTTGGTGATGTTATTAGTGGAACCGAAATAGTACAGTCGCAACAGTACTTGCAGAGTATTAGTTACTAGCAATTGAACGGTAATTGATTATTGAACGATAGATTATGTTTTTTTTCCAGGGAATGGAATTTGTATTCCGAATAGCAATGGCCATTTTACAACAGGCACGACTAGATCTGCTGAAACTCGATATGGAAGGAATGCTTAAGGTTTGATTCATAATGTATTTATGGTGAATGGCGCCTCTGTTACTTTTTTCGTTCACTTTTTTCCGTTACATTGGATGATTTTTGTTTGAAAAAAGTTTCCTCATTTGGACTCTGGGATTGATTTCTTTTGGTGAGAAAAGCTTTTTTGCTTTATTCGCTAATTTGAATGATTCCACTGCTCAATGACGAATTCGTAAAAAATTGCTACATTTGAACCGTGAGACTGAACTTTTTTTGGAGGAAAGTGGTAAAGCCAGAAAAAAAGTTAAACACATAAAAATTTGGTTGCAATTCTGTAAGTCACTCTTTGTGAGTCAGCCCATTTTGCTTCTTTTTAACCTCATTTTGATCAACTTTTTTTTGCTGCCACTAAATGTCGCTGACAAGTATTCCATTTAAAAAAGTAATTATTTGGAGTTTTTTAAAGATTTTGTTGGTATTGTCTTCAAAGCTGTTTTTAAATTTTGTAAAAGAAATCAGTCGGAAGCAGTCATCCGCTAGCAGGCTGCCTTCTTTTCTCCTTAAAAGAACTTTTGGTTTATCGTATTATTAACAACTGCTAAAAATTCTGAGTGACGAAAATGATTAGGAATTGTCAAAAGAGTTAACAATAGTCCCAGCAAAATTACTAATACGGATACTTATACCGATTGCTCAGGTAGTCTTGTATTCTTTGTATATTAAAAAGTCCATTTAATAATTAAAATGTGTGCAAAATGACCATCAAAAAACACCAACTGTTCTCTGCACTCGTATTTTTTTGGATAAATCTCAGCTAGCTACTCCAATAAACTTTACAGATTTTGTCCTTATCGATTCCTTTTTTTTGACTTAAATTTGTGTACCTTTACTCGTTTTATTCCAGTTTAGACTTTCTCTACAAAAACACTAATTTTACAGTATTTTCAACGTGAGGTACGTGATCGATACGAAAACGATCATGAGCTACTATTTATTGTGGCCAATAAAGTCAAACTGAATGCTAAAAAAATGAAAAAGTTAGTTTTTGACTTATCAATTTTTTGATTCTTTAATGAAAAAAGTAGTACAAAAAATAACAAAAGATTACAAAGATTACACAAGATTTTGGGATAACATGATACAAAAGACTTATGTCGGGATTTTGCAGGTCAAATATCCGCTTCCCTTGATTTTTTTTCTTCTGCCGTATTTGCAACAGTTTTTGCAAAAATAGTCATAGATGGATACAAACTCATGGTCATTCGAGGCAAAGCCTTGAATTTCTAGAGAGTTTTAAAAATTTTAGCTTTCTAGCTTTTGTAGTTCTTAAGTTGAATCATTCGGGCAGACAGACACGCAACATACACAAAAGCTATTTAACATATGTAGGGAAGCCAACTTTTTGTTGCTTTGCCCAGCTACGAGTCAAACAATAACAGATTTGTCAAATGCTTTAACCAAAGCTGCATCACCTGATGGTCAACTTGCTGCTGATGTTAAAATTCGTTTCACCTCCTGAGGGGAATACCGACTCAATATTCCTCACCGACGAAGCTGGCACTACATTTTTGTTATTTTGAGTTGTTCCTGAAGTGTGTTAATTATACTACCTCGACGCAAGTACTGTCATTCATAGAAGAAATGTTGTATTTTACCAATTACGAGACACAAAACATGAATTAGCAGTAATGCATGTTTTTGTTAAAAAACTTGAAAATTGTTATGAGGTAGTAAGAGCAGGAACTTGGACTATTCTGGAAGTTTTAAAATTTTTTGCAAAGTTATTTTTTTTCCATTTTTTAAACTTATGAATGTACAAGTTGATAAAAGTGAATAAATATGATGGCGGTTTTTATTCTCTTTTTAATCTTTATGAATATGCCAGTCAAAAAAATGAGAAACTAAAAAAATACAGTAAGAAAATGCCTATTTTTTTAAACTCATGTAGCTAGGAGAGCTGACAAGTCAAAAACTTGAGAAAACGGAAAAAAGGAAAGAACTGAAAATGGCTAAGATCAGAAAACAATGAAGGGAGTTAAAAATAATGAAAAAAGCGGTTAAACCATACGTCACTTTAGCAACTTTGCTTTCTGAAATCAAATTTTTCATCGTCATGGTGTTGTCTCCGGACTGCTCTTTATAAAGAATCGTGGTTCCACGAATTGTTCTGCTGTTGCTGCTTCTCCTGGACATCCATCACCAAAAATGTCGATTTTTTTATTTTTTCCCGTGCTCCAAACTCTAAAATTTTCCTGTTTTTGCACAAGCTTTGGAAAAAACTTTTTTCGCGGCAATAAATCAGCGTTTCGCTCACAAGAAAAGCAGAAGTAGGAAGTTTCATTTTTCCTGAAAACGAAAGACTGGACGAATTTTCAGAATTGCCGGAGGCACTGGTATACTTTCAGATTAACAAATATTTTCGGTTTCTTTTGAT